AACCAATGAGCCCAGCCTGTTGATGAAACTGCCTGGCATATGTCTTGGCTTCTTCATCTGTCATACCCAGGCTGTTTCTGGCAAATGTCCTGGCCTTCCCACAATGCCTGGACACATAGACATTTCCCTTCAACGCTAAATCTTCTTTGGGCAAGGGTGGGATTTCATACCCATCGAGCTCTTCTTTTTTCTCTTTCGCTTTGGCTTTGGAAGTAGCCTTAGGCTTTCCTGCTGGCCTTTTCATGACTGTTGCAGGTCCATTGGTCGTTTCATCATGCGCTCTTTTCTTTTCATTCTTGGCCTTCAGGGCACCAAACAATTCTTGTTCATAGTCCACTGCAATCATTGCTGACAAGTCATTGTTTTTTCCACTGACTTCTGGAAGCTCTGCCTGATTTGATGCCTCAGGCTTCGCAGCAGCACAAAGTGGTAAAATCTCCCTGGTCTTTGTTTTGAAAGAAGCAGCATTTGCTTGCACACTTCCGTCAGCAATGGCCTTTTGTTTGGCTGGTGACACCTTCAAGTTGGCCAAGCCAGGCTCACTGGCCTTTGCGTTTGAGTCGTGCCCAGCAAATGTCTGCGCAAGATTGGCCATAGCATTCATCATCATCATTTGCATGCTGTGAAAGTCATTGTGATTGTGCTGGTTAGATGAAGATCCACCAGGAGCAGCTGGTGGTGTTGCCTTTGTTTGCTGACCTTTTTGTTCACCAGCAGTGCTGTTCAAGAACTTGTTTGTTTTCCTCAGTGGTATAAGTCTACTCAAGGCTTGCATAGATTCAAACTGCTTTGCCACAGGGTTGCTGCTTTCATAGGCAGCCTTGAACAGTTCATCTGGCAAGGAAGAGGGGTGCTCTGGAAACTCCTGGACATAGGGCCTGTCCAGAAAAGCACTGGCTGGCAAGGAATGAAAGGTGCTTTTCAAATCATCAACCATTTGTTTGCAAACAGTGCTGTCTGGTGCCTTGGAAAGCTGGCATAGAAGCAATGCACATGCATTTTTGCATGTTTGTTCATGCAAGGACCTGATGCCAAGTAAGCGCAACCTTTTGCAAATGCAATTGCATTTGGCAATCCAGCTGGCCTCATGTGACTGGAGGATGTTCCATTCTTCTTGGACAAGGTAGTTCTGCAAATGCTGTAGCTTCTGGGGCTTGAAGCCTTGCTGTGGCATTGCTACAGTTCTTGATGACATAGCCTTATCAATGCTGTTCCTCAAAATATCTCTCAAAGAAGAATCTAAGCCACTGTCAGCTACAGCAGCATAGATTTGCTGAGTTTCTTGAAGTGTGCGCCTAAGGGATGACCCGACCTTGTGTGCCAGGCTTTCTACCATTGACTTCCCCTGGGCACTGCGCAAACCATCTCAGGCGCGCGACCCCAGCCAACTGGAGACCCTGACGACACGCCAACGCGACCTCACCAACACTAAAATAACAACCCCAAACCCGAGGACCCACGAGCAAAACCGAAAGCCACAAAACTCACGACCATGGCAACATGCTCCTCACCATGGCATGAAAACAAATGATTGACATGTCATGGTGGGGACCACTCGAAGTAAAGCAATTTAGTAATTTAGTTGAAAAGCTGCGAGGAGGGTTGGGGCCTTGTGTGCCGCGATGTGAATGTTCTCACCCAACGGGCTTACAAAGCTGGAAGCTGACGTGCTTGATTCGCCGTGAAGTTCTGAGGTGGGCACACCCATATAAAGTAGCCAAGTGAGCCCTGCCACCTGTTGAAAGACATGCCCCCCCTATAATAAACAACTCGGGTCGTTTTTTATAGAGGGAACCCACAAGATAGCAGGGCCCGCAAAGATGGGAACCTGGCAAGAGCTTCAAACCCGGCGGCTCGCCCCAAAAAAACTATTTTGCACCCTTCTTAAACTAGTATCAAAAATTCTTGAACCTCCGGATCCAAAGGGTTTTTCCCTTTGCAAAACCGTTGTCTTAACAAATTGATTCTTTGATATTCTCTGTGTGGACATTTTGCATCGGGCTCACAACAAAATGTTTGAAAGGTGAAGTCTCGTGCGGCGTGTCGCCAGCGAGCGACATGGCTGGTGGTGATTCTGATCTGTGGGTACCTTCTTAAGAAAGTATCCTTCCAAAATGCTGTTGGGGGCGTTTTAGTAGTAGACAAAAAGGGGTTGTTCAGAAACAAAGAGGAATTGGATTTAGGTGTGTCGACATGATAATTCAAGTTGGGCAGTGTTTCTCAATATGTGCTCCGGTTAAAATGGAGGACCATCTCCTCTACATGTAGCATGAGACCTGCAACCTTGCAACTGCTCCTTATTCACAATCTGTTGACGGGTTCAGTTTTCTATTCAAGTACTTTGTCAACCAAGGCCTTCGGATGTCTCGTGCAACTTTGACGCTGGAAACTGTGGGTGGCACTTCAGTCCTTCGCCGCAAACTAACGGTTTCGTCCACAGCCAAGCCACCACTTTTAAGATGTTTTCCTCCTTGCACCCACCAACTGCCACAGGGCAAAGGTGGATGTTGAGTTTCACGTACCGTGTGATTCCAGTCTCCAGCGTATTCCGGCTGTGGCTTAGCTGCTGGCTCTTGAGTTCGTCTTTCTTGAGTTCGTCTTCCATCGCTCAGGCAATCATTTGGGATGGAGCAGCTGATGGCCTTCAAAAAGAATGGCGCAAGGTCAAACTCTCACTTCCTGCCAATGTACTCGGTATAGTGATTGAATCACGGCAGGCTGTATTCTCAATTGACAACATATACGTAACATCTGCGTCCGTTGCATCTATCCCCTATGCTTACGTTCGTGCGGCAGATTCTCATTCCTGCGCGTTAAACACCGCTCATGGGCAAATCCGATGTTGGGGATCTGGTAGTTTTGGCAAACTAGGCCAAGGCAACTTAGAGAACATCGGTGATGACATGAATGAGATGGGTGACAATTTGGCTGCGGTGGACTTGGGCAGCGGCCGAACAGCAAAGCAAGTG